CCCCAAAACCCCAAAACCCCAAAACCCCTAATTTCAGGATTTTAGTTGAATTTTAATGAATTTTGGACTATTTGAAGATGCTGATCATCTTTTTTAGCTGCTTTTGGGCCTTTTTGTTACTCATTTTTGAGACTTTTTGAAGAGCTTTTGAGATTTGGAGGGTTTCGAGGTCTTGAGGGTCTTTGGAAGACTTGACTTTGTCTATTGTTTTGAAGATGGGAGAGACGACTGTGTTTGATCTGTGGAATTCCTTGACCTTTTCTCTCTCATTTTGATGATATTTGTGCTCATCTGGGTCTGGAAGAGCTGCCTTCTTTGATTTTAAAGACTTTCCACCACTATTACCTTCTTGGTAATTGGTTGAATCTAGATCATTGCTGTCTTTTACACTAGCATAGCAGATATTTTTGAGACCAAGATCTTCAGCGACCGGATCTTGTTTCAGCTTGTAAATTCTATTCTTGAAGAGGACATTCGTGATGTACTCTAGTCTTAATCCTCAAAATGAAAGTATTTGCAAGATATTGTTCTGTCGTATCTCTTGATGATCTTCCTTCAATTGGTATGCAACTCTACTTATAACCAATAATGCTTCTGAAGAAAGTGACTTGAGATGAGAGATTCTATTTCTAATCCCTTCTATCTTTGACTTATGTTGGTGTCTAAATCCAGTTTTATCCTGGAGAATAAGGAGCTTAGCTCCACTTTCAACATCATCAACCCATGTATAGTTGTTATTCTCTTGTTCAAACTTATCTTTCTCTACACAATCATAACTAAGGATTACCATCTTTCTTGTCTTTGAATATTTCTCTGGTCTTTTTGAGCTTGTCTAACTGATCTTTCTTGCTTTCTCTTTCCTTTTCTAGGTCCTTGATCTCTTCCATGAGAAGTTTTTGAGTGCTTTGTTGGTGGAAGTAATAATCCTTGAGCTCAAGGACATTCCTGACCTGGGTCCTTGAGATTACTTTCTTGTAGTCACTCTCGTATTTCTCTAACTTTTCAGCACTCTTTGTGTCCATGTCAAAGAGTTTGTTAGTCTTTGCTCTCTTGCGAGGCTGCATTGCAAATGCTTGCTCACTATAATTAGGAATAAAGCCTACTTGACTTTCTTAATGCTATCATCATCAGCTATGGAGCATTAGGAAGAAGTTATCTTACTTTGGATTATCCTTCAGATTTCCTTAACCTTCATGGTCTCTTCGAAATCTCTGAGCATTTGAGTGGCAGCTTCATTCATGTCTTGGATATAATTTTTGAACCTATGAATTGGGCTATGAATCATTACTTTTCAGAATGAAGCTGCTTCTCTCTGAGATATTTATGAGTATCAAGCTTGTTCTTGGCAATCTCTTGATTCACCTCCTTATCTCTTTGCTCGATCTGCCTCTTCTTGGCTTTGAGTTGCTGGATAGTGTACTTCTTGCTATAGAAAGTTTACTGTAGGACTATACTTCTCTAGAATCTGAAGATCTCGCTCTAGCATGTATCTCAATGTTTCCTTGAATCATTGGACTTCATCATATTTAGCACTGAGATAGTCTAGCTTGAGGTTGGTGTGTTCAATCTTTTTGAGTCCTTCATAATCAGTATGATCAGTGGTAATTTTGACTAACTCACGGTTGAGTCTTTCCAATTTTTGTTGCTTATGAAGAAGATCAAACTTTATAGCATCTCTTCTTAGCTTGGGTGGGAGCTCTCCGTCTTGTTCATTGAAGTTGAAACGATCTTTGATCTTTTGTAGATACTTCTTTGATAGCTTAGTTGGGATCCTGTTAGAGCTCACAAAGCTATCACTATCTGAGATTACATCTCTCCTTGCTGCTTCGACAATTTCTTTAGGTGGCTTAGTGGGATATAAGTCAAATACATAGAGTTTTGGATTATAGTTACTCACTGTTTTGGCATATTGGAGAAATAATTCAGGGTCTCCTTCATCATACAGTTCCTGGATTTGCTTCTTGATCTCATCCTTGGTCTGCTGAAGTATCTTCAAGATCCCAGTTTTATCATCTGTGTTATCCTCAAGAGTGCTCTGAGGCTTTGGTTCAGGGTAGAGCCTCTTGCCAGGGAAATTATTGGGATATTTCCTGGGGGACATGGTCTTTCCTTTCTTATCCAAGGAATGTTCATTCCTGGACTTCGTCCTTGGGGAGATGGGAGGCAGCGCCCCCATCCCTGTATAGAGATGGTTCTCATTGATAACAACTTTCTTCTTCCTGGACATATGATTTATTCTTATTTATATTTTATAAGCATTTAATGGGGTTTTGGGGTTTTGGGGTTTTGGGGTTTTGGGGTTTTGGGG